AGTTGCTGATGCCATCCAATCATCTCATCCTCTGTCGTCCCTTTATCTTCCTTCCTTCAGTCTTTCCCAGCATAAGGATTTTTTCCAGTGAAACAGTCCTTCACATCAGGTGGCCAAAGTAGTGGAGTTTCAGCTTCAGCATCAATCCTTCCAATGAATATTCAGGACTGATTTCTTTTAGGATCAACTGGCTGGATCTCCTTGCAGTCCAAGGGACTCTCAAGAGTCTTCTCCAACACCACAGTTCAAAAGCATCAATTTTTCAGCACTCAGCTTTCTTTATAGTCCAACTCTCACATCCATACAGGGCTCTTCTCGCGGCTCAGTGGTAAAGAATCTGCCTACCAATGCAGGAGATGCAAGAGACCTGGGTTCAATCCCTGGGTCGGGAAGATCTCCTGGAGAAGGAAATGGCAACCCACTCCAGCACTCTTGACTGGAAAATCCCATGGACAGAGGAGCCTGGTAGGCTGCAGTCCATGGGGTCGTGAAGAGTTGGACACGACTGAGGGATGTCAATGTCAAATGTCAATGTCAAGTCCTTAATGTGCTTCCCCTTCAAATAACGGAAAAGCAGAATGAATCATTGAGCACATTTGGAAACAATCATTTGTAAATGTGGATAGCATCAATAATACCTGACCTAAATGCCTTCCTTTAACTATACAGCCTTTGCGAAAAAGCAGTAGTAATAATAATAAAGCCTGCCTAACATTATCTGTAAAATTCTACTACATTCTTTAGTTTCTGACACTGTTACTCTTGATAAGATAGAATAAAAAGTAATATAAAATTACCTGGACTATACATATTTATAAATGGAGTAAATTTGCATAATATAGTGGTTGAACTTTATAATTTGAATATGTTCCTTCATAATTATCATGAAGAATACATAAGTTTGAATTATTCGTTAACTCACCTTCTGAAATGTAAGCTTTGCTAGGGTACAATTTCAATCTGAAGCATCATTATTTTAAAAGAACCTCATTTGAATATTTTTCATTTCAGCTAGTCTGACAAAGACTCTTGTAATTATCTTACAAGACAAATTAAGAAATGTGGGTGGGAAGGAAGGAGAGGTCAAATGTATTTGTACATGATTTGTATCACGCCACACGAACATCAACGGTAAAGTGGCAGCTTTGCTGGGGTTACAGAGAGTCAGGCCTGTCCTGCTCAGGATTTATTAGTGATGTGAATGAAGACTCAGAGGGCAGGCTTAGCAAAATTTAAGGTGGAGTAGAGCTATTTCACTGGGAAAACAGCTAACAGAATGGTGTTAGAAACTAACCCCAGAAGATGAAATTTAATGATGACAAGGATCAAGACCTATTCTGTGATTCACAGTTGTAGGACCGGTGAAGATCTGACTGGGAAGAAGTTTTCATTAAAATAAAGGAGGTGGTGCCTTGAAATGACCACGTCAGCCCAAGTTGGAAGTACAGTTTCACTGTAAACAGAAACAGACTCAGGGATATAGAGAACAGGCTTGTGGCTGCAACGGGGAGGGGACTGCGAGAGGTGGAGAGAGGTCGGTTGGGGTTAGCAGATGCAAGCTTTTATGTGCAGAATGGATAAACGACGAGCTCCTATGCTAAGCACAGGGAACTATATTTAATATCCTATGATAAGCCATAATGGAAAAGGATATTAAAGAGGAATGCCTATATAACTGAGTCGCTTTGCTGTACGGCGATAATTAACATGACATTGCAAATCAACTATACTTTATTTTTAAAAACAAGTACAATTTCACTGTAAACTTAAAATTTGTTAAGAGAGTAGACCTCATGTTAAGTGTTCTTACCACTCAAATTAAAAAAAAAAAAATCGCTGCTACTGAGGGAGGAATTCAGACACACTGCCTACCTTCACCCACTTAGCTCCATAATTTCCATCTCAAACCACCCAGGGACTGTAAGCTACTTTCTGGAGTTGAAACTAAAACTCTGTTTATTAGTTTTATTATCATTCTACTTTACTGAGTCATTGTTGAAAATTAAAACTGTGTATATTGAAGGTATACAACTTGATCTGATATACTTGACACATTGTGAAATAGTTACAATAATCAAGCTAATTAACAGATCCATCTGCTCACAAATAGTTACCTCTTTGTGGTAGAAACCCTTAAGATATACTCTTTCATCAAATTTCAAGTATACAACACAATATTAATTACACTCTCATTGCTGTACATTAGGTCCCCAGAACTTATTCATCTTGTATATCTAAGACTTTGTACCCTGTGATCCACATCTCCCCTCTCCCCCATCCTATAGTAATCACCACTCTACTCACTGTTTCTATGGATTTTTACATTTTCAGATTCCACATATAAGTGAGTATTTGTCTTTCCATGACTGGTTTATTTTGTTTAGCATAATATCCTCCAGGTTTATCCATTTTGTTACAAATGGCAAGATTTCCTTCTTTATTAAGGCTGAAATAATATTCCACTGTATGTGTGTGTGTGTTTAACTGTATTTTCTTTATTTATTCACCTGTCAATAGATATTTAGGTTGCTTCCATATCATGGGAGTATGCATATTTCTTCAAAATACTGGTTTCATTCCTTCAGATATGCACCCAGAGGTGAGATTCGTGGCTCATAAGGTAGATCTACTTTTTGGGGGAACCTCCATACTGTTCTCCATGGTGGCTACACCAAATTACATTCCCACCAGCAGGGAGCCTGGGTTCCCTCTTCTCCATAACCTGTCAATGCTTATCTCTTGTCTTTCTGATACTGGCCATTCTAGCAAATGTGGGGTGATAGCTCACAGCAGTTTTGAATAGTTTTCCTTAATGATTAGCTACATTGAGCACCTTTTCATACAGCTGTTGGTCATTTGTATGTCTTCTTCTGAGAAGTGTCTATTCGGGTCCTTTGTCCAGTTGAAAATTGGGTTGTTGCATGTTTTGCTACTGAGTTGCATGTGTTCCTTACATATTTTGGATATTTTGTTATTGTGTTCCTTATGTATTTTGCTCCTTATAGATTAACTAGGGGGTATAACTGATCACTCAGTTTCCATGAAGGGGTAGTTACTATAAGCAAAATGTCCCCTGGATGCTGAAGACAGAAGTTAATTCAGAAACATGGTCCTAGATGGAACAGTCATCTTGGCCATGACTGTGACAAAATAAGAAGCTTAGGCATTAAGTACACAAGGTCATTTCATCTAGTCTTCTGCCTCCAGTAGGTAAAATGCTTAAGACAGCCTCAAAAGCACAGATCTAGGGAAGTAATCTTCAATTTTTTCCCTAGACTATTTAAAACTTTGATCAGGTGGATTAATGAACTCTTGGATAGTGAGCTGGAGAGCTAAAAAGAGGGAAACTATAATTATACACATAGGTGTTGAGAGTAGAACCCAGACGTGACTATTTTGTAAATAGTTTTAAAATATCTACATAATCCACTTAATAGTAATGTCTTCTATTCAGGCTCCTGAACAAACTCTGTTTCCCTGTGAGCCCTGTAGTACAATCTATCTCACAGAGCTATTGTGAGAAATAAATGAAATTAGAAATAGGTAGCCCATAAATGTTAGCTATTATTCACAACAGTTTTCTTTTTTTTCATCATCCAAACTTACTAAGACCTACTATGTTCACTGAAATAGCCACTGGGAAAAAGAACTGGATACAGAATTTTTTAACTGAACAAACTTGGATGTCATCTAGTTCATTTTTTTTCCTAATAAACTTTTAACTGTAACTCTGGAAAATAAATTCTAAAAAAGAGAGCTGCCCTAGTAGAAGGAGTTAGGAAAAACAAAGTGTGATGCCATTCACAGAAGCACTGTGCTTAGGTTGCAATAGAAGCCTGTGGTCATAGGCACAGGGAATATTTGCCACACTTAACTCTGCCCTAAATACCATATATACCTCCAGTTCCATTACTGACACCTTCAGAAGGTTCATGAGTGTTTTCTGGGAAAGACCACTGGCATGTTAGGTAGTCAGTAATCTAGACAGGAGGAGGAGCTTAGAGAATGTGGATTTTATTATCAACCCGACAAAAGGCAAACCTTGGTAAAAATACCATAGGTCTTCAAATATTTGAAGGACTCATATATCTGAGGCAACAGACTTATTTGCTAGGGGCCAGAACAGGGAATAATAAGTTTAAATGACTAAGAAAGAGATCTGGGGTTAACATGCTAAGACAGTAAAAGAGAACATGAAATCCAAAGTCAGAAAGCCCAAATTCAAGTCCTAGCTTGATTTTTCATTAGTTCTGTAACTTTAGGTAAGGTATCTACACTCCATGAGTCACGCAATTCTCATCTATAAGGTAACAAAAGTTAAAAATACTACTCATGTAACAAAGCACATATAAAATGTTTGGAATATTTAGCATGATTTGAAAATAGTTAATAACAGTTAGCCACAGGAATGGGGTACCCCATTGCAGAGAGTGTTCATGGAGGGCTGACCAAGTCTCACCGCCAGGCTTCCTTTTACTGGGATCCAGTAAGCCTAACTGAACTGGAAGGTGACTGCTATACTCCCTCGGCAAGTACGATGTGTTCATGTGATACATACATATCTCAAAGGTAGGAAAAGTTAACCACAAAGAGTCACTAATGTCAATAATTTAATTTGGCTAAAGAATGCAGTTAATATCCACAGCCTTTCCAGAATTCATGAGCAGGCTAAAACGCCACAAAGATAACTCATTAAACTTAAATCAGCAAAGATGAGTTTAACTCAAAAAAAACCCCAAAATAGGATCACGTGTTCCAGATTAAATGACAGTTAATTCATTTCACCCAAACAGTATTCCACACTTGTGCTGCTAATCTGGAAAATACATAGAATTTTCTAGATTGTAAAAGCTCTGTCAAAATCTCAAATTTCAGCTTTCAGATAGTTGATATTCTCCCATTGCCCATTCGCCTGCCGTATTCCAATTTATTTTTATAAGTGTTCAGAAATAAGTAACCTCTGAGTTAGTATGCCTGCCAGTTGTTCTGAGTTTACTTACCCTCTGACCCTCTTTTCCAGGTGGACCTTGGGGGCCTTGTATCCCCAGGGAACCCTACAAGGAAAAAAGGACACATATTAGTAGATTGCTTCAAGCATGCCTGCCTTGCAAAGAATGCTGTGAAAATTAATACTAATTTTATTGATTATACAAAAACTTTTAAAGTGATCTGAGCTCTTCTAAGCTTAGACTATACAATACATTAATAATGGTGAACTGTCCTTCTTCGACTGGTTTATCTTCAGAGTTAACACAACAAAAGAAAAGAAAGATCCCTAACCAGTGATCACTCCCAGGGGTGACTCTCATATCACTGGAATCATGTCTTTTTTTTTTTTTTTAATCAACCTGCTGTCAATAAATGGTAACAATATTACAGGCAGAAAAACAATGCCTCTTCACGTATTTAAACTCTATAAATGCAACAGCATTTTTGGTTGAGAGTGGCTCTGTAGTTTCCCTCTGAGAAAACACCTGGTTATGACATCAGCTTCAACATTCATCTATTCATAACACTTAATTTTTAGCCTCATAGACATTACTTAATACTTTCTCATGAAAAGTATTTTTTTCAAGTGGTAGAAAAAAATAACCTTTTTTTTGTTCAATTATACAAAAGGTGCAGGAAACCTCAGGTTCACTAATCTGAATCTCCTGATTCTCACAGATAATTACTTTTACACAAAAATTCTCAGCACAAAAACCAGAATGTTAATACCGCTGCTGTTTCAAGTCTTTGGGATTGACGGCTAGTTGTTACCCCTCTGGAGGCTTCTCAGTCTCTCTGGCTGCTTCCTCCTTCCCTATTAAGCCTTTCAACGTGCGGGTTTAGGCCCATTTTCTCCCCATTCTCCTGCCACGATCTCATATTATACCATGGACCTTGGCTTCTCCAGGCCAATGATGCCAAGATTTTTACTCAACTTATCTTTGAGCTTGTAGGTACACACATCCAACTGCCTGCCAGATACACCTACTCTGCTCTCACCAGCATTTGAATTTAGCACAGCAATACCACATTTAGGACCCTCCCACCAAAACTGGGGCCTTTTCCAGCACCCCAACTCTGTAAACCCACGCACCATCCTGCTAGAGCTCTTGTTGGGAACCTAGAACTTGTCTTCCACACTTGCCTCTCTCACTTCTTTTTCACATCCAGTCCCCAAGTCCAACTGATGTAGCTCCAAATAGATGGATTTGATCCATCTATTATTCTCTTCCATCCTTCTGCTCCATCACCCTCTCGCTTGCTCACCTGTAAGAGCTTTCTAGGTGACACTAGACACAGACCCCTCCATCCTCCAGAACACAAACTGACCTCAAGAAAAATCCAGCCTGACCTCCCTGGATTGTCCACATAAAGAGATGAATGATGCCTCACTGCATCAGTCTTAAGGTGCCTGTACTTGTTCTTTAAATTATTTATCATAATTCCCTTTATTATTTTTTTTCATTTATTTTTATTAGTTGGAGGCTAATTAGTTCACAACATTTCAGTGGGTTTTGTCATACATTGACATGAATCAGCCATGGAGTTACATGTATTCCCCATCCCGATCCCCCCTCCCACCTCCCTCTCCCCCTGATTCCTCTGGGTCTTTCCAAATTCCCTTTAAATGATTATTTAGGAAATGATTCACCAGGCTATAAGGAAAATGGTAGAATCACTGTCTTATTTAATACCAGGTACCTGTTAATTATTGAAAAAAAATCATAATGAGAAATCAATCCACTGTTAGAGGAAAAAAAAAGGCTTTTGGGTAAAGCTGGCACTTTTAAAGGGTTTTAAAAATATGTATGGTTAATCTACTATATATTAAAGGCCTTAAACACTTTGGAATATGAGAAATCTAGTAAAGACACACTTGAACATCTGATTCACCTTCATCCCTTCAGGAGAAGCATTATCATCTAATTTTTGAAAATTAGGATTCATTTTTATAATGTAACCATTTTCCTTAAAAGTCATAGCTACATTTAAAGTAAAACATCAGGTGTGCTTGTGAGGATGTATTTATTATGTATACATTTTTTGGTTTTTCACAGAAATTAACTTTTCACAAATGTCATGGCATGGTAATTTCACCATCCAATTTTATTTAGAACAAAAATATCACAAATATATTTTAATTTTTCACTCTGACAGCTTTTCTTTGATTAAAGTGGTCAGAATTTAATATAAATTCCTATAACTAATTTTGAAAAAGAATTTACACAAAAAATTCTGCATGTATCACCAATGCTCGTGTGTGTGTGATCAATCGCTCAGTAAAGTCCTACTCTTTGTGACCCTATGGACTGTAGCCCGCTGGGCTCCTCTGTGCGTGGGGTTTTCCTGGCAAGAATACTGGAGTGGGTTGCCATTTCCTCCTCCAGGGCATCTTCCCGACTCAGTGCTCGAACCCATGTCTCCTGTGCCTCCTGCACTGCAGGTGAATTCATCACTGTTGATCCACCTGGCAAGCCATCAACAATGCTCAGTGTTCCCCAAATCTTCCTGAGTCTTCCTCCACAAAGTATTCACAAAATGTGGAGAAGGAAATGGCAATCTACTCCAGTATTCTTGCCTGGAAAAATCCCATGGACAGAGGGGACCATCCATGGGGTCTTAAAGAGCTGGACATGACTGAACAACTGACCAGGTATTCATAAAATGTATGTATTTATTCTTTTACCTATTTTTGGAAAAATTAATGTTACAGGGGCATGTAGAGCCTATGTTTTATTGATTTATGAGGAATAAAAACCAGGGAATGAAAAATGTGATCAGTTCTGTTTTTTATTTTTTTAACCAAAAACACCTGCCAAATGATAGATAACCAAAGAAAGTTGCCTAATTAGGTCAATTTTAGGATGGTAAATTCCTGACGTGATAAGAAAATCAAATTTTCAAATCAAAATATACCAAAAGATAATCACAAGGGCTTGGGTCATTTTTTTAAGATTGACACAATCTTGGCTTCAGATAAAACTCTTCCCTTTTACCCTTGGAAACTATTATAATTTCATGAATAGTCAAACTTACACATAACATTTTTGATATACATCCAAATGTTGACAGATCTTTCAGTGTTTTTAAATGTGAGCTACTAAAACATACACATACTGAACATTCATCAAGGGAGTACAATTAATTCTGAGCCACATGTAATAAAAATTCCATTCCCTTTACTAGTTAAGAAAAATTACATAGCAAAAGCCTACATAAGATGAAAATATTAAACTTGACTTGGAATGTATTCAATGGATTAAAAAAATTTATGAGAAACTTTTTGTTAAAAGCCCCAAAGTAAGATATGACATACTCACAGATAAACCCACTAACATGCCTCCCAGACAGTCATGATTCTGAGTACTCCCCCACTCCTGACCTTTGCTAACTCTTGGACCTAGCAAGGAATTTGATGAAAAAGTGGGATTATTTTTCATCTCCAATGATATTTTTGATCCAATTCACTATTTGGATTATCCTGACAAAATTTTAATCCTAGCTCTACTACCTTAATATTCAGAATATTTTTATCTGACTGTATTAAATATTATTAGATGATTTGCAAAGAAAAATAATATCAATATTATCATTAGTAAACCATCAGTCAACCAACTATTGAAAAATAATATTTTTTCCGGAATTAGAAAATTAAAATTTGAGGATGATCCAACCAGTCCATCCTAAAGGAGATCAGCCCTGGGTGTTCATTGGAAGGACTGACGAAGCTGAAACTCCAATACTTTGGCCACCTGATGCGAAGAGCTGACTCATTTGAAAAGACCCTGATGCTGGGAAAGATTGAGGGCAGGAGAAGAAGGGGATGACAGAGGATGAGATGGTTGCATGGCATCACTGACTCAATGGACATGGGTTTGGGTGGACTCCGGGGGTTGGTGATGGACAGGGAGGCCTGGAGTGCTGCGGTTCATGGGGTTGCAAAGAGTCGGACAAAACTGAGCAACTGAACTGAACTGAACTGAACTGAACATTACTTGCAATTCTCCAGCTAACTATTCCTTGCATTTAGTAAAGTCAAACAATGTATTAACCTATCACCTAGCAAAACTTATACCGAGGCTGAAGCTCCTCAAATTAAACTTGGGCAGAGTTCAGCATTTGCCTCAGAACCCTTCAATAATTCCTTCTTACTCTAACCTTGTAAATGCTGTCATATGTATGTTTTACTCATCCTCTTAGTTGACTATGAGTTTTAGAGGACAAAATAATCACTTTTTTCTATCTTTTCTATCATACTTACAGAAGAGAATTAGTAAGTACTTATAAAACTAGATCATAAGAAACTAAACAGAGATAGAATAATACTGAGCATCAGTGGTAGGAAACAGGTTCCTGGTCTACATATAATTATATTTATTTTCAAAAATTTGCCTTGGACTTAAATACCACATTGGAGGACTTTCAGTCTTGTCTCTATTTCTCATCCAAAGTGATCATTTCACTCTCTGATGTCTAAGAGTAAAACTGCCTTACAGTTCATCTAAGAATTAATCTTACTGTAATAGAATCAAAAAACCATGAGCTTTTGCTCTGATTCTTGATCTGGATTTTGGTATCATGGGTAGGTTTAACTGCTCTTATTCTTGATCTGTATGTTGGTAAAGTGGATATATTCAATTTGCAAAAAATCTTTTGAACTACAACTTTTGATATATACTCTTCTGTACATATGTTATACTTCAAGAAACAAAAAACTCTGAAGTCTATGAAAGCTCAAATATAAAAAAGAATTAATCATCTACTATTTGTGACATCATCTCTATTATGATTATTTAAATCTTTGACTACTACTGATGCTTTACATGTTTATACCATTTTCCCATTTGGAGAATCATGTCTTAAGTATCTTTGTGCATATAGAATCTTTGCATAATCTATGCATTATTTTCTTCTTCAATTTAATTTGGTGAAGAATAATTTCTATCCATTTTTTTTTTACTTTTTCCATCTACTTAGGCTTTATGAAAATAACTTTAAACTGAGTTATTCCTAAAATTTTACAATCATAAAGATTTATTGCCTTTCCGAAAGAGAAACTTAAGAC